GTTTCCTGACTTACTCCAAAAGGATAAAGACAACCTAGAGAGTATTGAACGGCGAGCCACTAAATCAGTTCGGAGACTCAAGTTCAGGCCTTATGAAGAGTTCCTCCAATCACCAAATCTTTAACCATTAGAGTACAGTCGTTGTGGTGACTTTCTAACAGCTTACAGTATCCTTAACATTTCTGGACACCCCCTCAAACACCTACTTAAGTTTGGCTCCGACACAAACTTAAGAGGTAACACCCAGGAACTGGAGACACAACACAGAAGAACGGACTGCAGACACAACTTCCACTCTTTAAGCGTAATGAAATACTGGAATTCTACTGCTACTGGACACGGAAGCTCGTCTAGCGAATGCTTCTTCGATTCCTCCCACAACCATTCGAACCATTTATACCTCGTGAAGCAAACCTTGATGAACTGTTTATCAATGAGCAAATACTACTAAAGAAGGAACGAATTGAGCGAAGAAATTTCTTTTCAATTAGTTTTTCATCATAGCTCTACACTAATATATATATGATTTACAATAATGGTATAATACTCACCGAGTGGATACGTTACGTAATAGTTACATAATGACATTTAAATTAACATTGAGTAGTTGGAAGAAAGAAGATTATTAATATTCAAAGTAATTATTAAGTCAAGAAGTTGCTACGTTTCGTAATATATGAAAAGAGAAGGAACAGAATTTTATAATGGATGGTCAATAGAATAGTACTTACGTAAGAATCAAGAGATGAATATTGAGAAGTTATAAAGTTCAAAAGCAACAGAAACAAAATTACAAAAAAAACAAGTGGAAGGAGTATGAAAAATAGTTCTTTTGAAGGAAATCTTATACTGATGGCCGGGGCAGAGAAAGTGGTTGTACGAATCTCTTTTGAATGCAAAGGTCAGGTTTGTGAACATGGATTGCGATGGCTTCCGCAATGTGCAAGAGGCGCACTCGCAAACCATGTGGCAAATTTGATGGGATATTGTAGATAACCTTAAAGGCTTTATTCACTTCAACTTGATGACCTGTGTCAACCAAGTGAGAGAGAGAATAGAACGTTTAATCACTTTTACCCGTCCCCTGCCTAACCATGACGGATGATGTTCTGTAATACGATGACGGACTTGCAGAATTGTACGCCCTATATAATTGGCTCCACAGGAGCAGTCGAAACGATAGATACACGTAGATTATTGGCTGTTCTTATTTTGGGATGGTTGTAGAAGATGGCATTTAATCTGGCAGCATTAAATGTTTTTTGTACGGCTTTTCTTAGTTTATGAGTCAAGATTTCTTTAATCGTGTCATTTATGAATTGTAGTTTTATGAATAGTACCTTCTTAGGGACGGTGGGTATCTTTGTCCTTGTTTTCTTCTCCATCATATGTTTGTCGATGAATTTCATGGGATACCCATTCATACTGAGTAGGTTCCGAATATTATTCAATTCTTCTTCAGTGGTGTCTTCAGAGCAAATCATTCTGGCTCGATGAATCATGATCTTTATCAAGTTCCTTTTGTATCTTATTGGAACTGCACTATGGAAATGAGTGTATAGTCCTGATGTAGACTTTCTGTGTACCTTTCTTTTTAAAGTTCCGTCTGCTCTTCTTGTTAGTTGGACATCTAGAAATGATATGCTATCATTCTGTTCATCTTCTGATGTAAAATTAATTGATGGATGAATGTTATTAAATATATTAAAAAAATTGTCCCTATCAAATTCTTTTTCTAATACTATGAAGGTATCGTCTATATGGTGATAATAAGTTGGTAAATGGCTAATTATGCTTTTAAGTGGACTGCTTTCCAGTTTTGCAAGGAAAATATCAGCCAGTAGAGGGCCCAATGGTGATCCCATGGCAACTCCATCTAGTTCTCTATAGTATTCATTGTCAAATCTAAATTGGACATTCACTGTAAATCTAAGAATTAACCGTTCTATCGCGGATGCTGGAATCTGGGTTTCTATGCGCCTCTCTGTTAGTTCATTGCAAATAAAATCAACCGTTTCAAGTAGTGGAATGTTAGTGAATAAAGATGATACATCGAGTGATAACACGAAATTATTCTTGGCTAATAGATTTTTTATATTCTCAACAAATTCAAAGGAATCCTTGACACTATGCTTGACAATTTCTTCGTGTAATGGTTTAAGAATTTTCACCAACCATTTTGCTGTAGTATGATACGCTGAGTTATTCATATCTAAAACTGATCGAAGGGGCAAGCCACTACTAATAAAATCAAACTTTGTTCATAACGAGTCACTCCTGTCTCAAATGCTCTTCCGGACCCTCAAGTGAAAACTGATAAAAGGGATTTTAACAACCATGCCCACTCTGAAGACTGACTCCCGGAAAACCGTCCAACCAAATCCAGTGACAGAATTATGTTTTGCACTTATTGTCTCGTGTGCTAAATGTCTCTCAATTTATTCATTATTGTTATTATACGACCATTTTGAATGTGCAGAACCAACACTTTTTTATTCCTGACTGACGAATAAAGGATTTTAAATGCCTAAATAAGGGCAATATAGAACATTGAACGAAATACGATAGAAACGACTCGGCAACAAAAACAAAAGTTATGGACTCAACTCTTGATAGTCTTCTAGGACCATCAGAAGTTGGTAGAACCGCTGAAGATCCGAAATCTACAGCAATTATTTACTTGGAAAAAAATGGAATTTTGAGGCTTATGCAAGTATAATTTATCTAACAAATTTACAGATAACCAAGAAACTTGTTTACGAAATAGCTTTATTTCAGCCAGACGACCCTATTCAATACATGATAGACCATGTAGAAAATATTAGGGATCACATAGACTGCTAGAAAACATACACTCATTCGTCCACCACTGGGCTTTGAGTATTGACATACAAACATTCAAGCCGTTTCGCTCTGTGGTAAGCAGTTCATCATATAGCTATCAAAATACCTCTTAAACTAGAAGTTTATGGACGTAAAAGTACCTCGTATCTTGAGTTTTTATGAGCAAACTACAAGTAAATTATTCAGATAATTTGAATATGAAATTCTCTTTTCCGTATATAAACATACATATCCTGAATACCTACTCATTTTATTTGGTCAGAGAACCTTTATCCGTAGATTAATTAGAATTTACTCAGTTAACCAGTTTTTCGTGCCAAAGACGTAGAGCAATGTACCTCATGTTATGTAATATAGAAATTATTTATCTGTGTGTGTCTCACTTACTGTTCTGTGAAATATGAATAAAAGTGGGACTTAGTAGCCCACCGATTATTTACCGATTTACTTACCAAATGGCAAAATGGGAATTTTCACCGATTATTGTTTGTAAAATGAAACATCACACCCAAGCAAAAACTGTGTGTACTTAAGCAGAAGTCATCGATACCATACTTTATGGTTGATCTCGGGCAAAACTTCGGCTAATTAGAAAGCAGGTAGTAGAAGTGAATAATTTATGATGTAAAACCCGAATAATTAAAATGCATGTATATATAGACTCCTTCTATACGGTTGACAAACTAATAATTTTAACAATCTTTCAAAGGTACATATGAACTCTAACTTGAATTTGTGCTATACAAATCTTTACGACCTTTGTAAGACAGAATATGGTCATTTAATTGTGATAGTATTGCCTCAACATTAAAGATTTAGACACTAGTTATTAAGCCGATGAAATAACGTCTACGAACGATTATTGTAAGCTTTACAATCTCTAATCATTCGTGTAGATTCTAGTCCATGACTGCATGAACCGTATATAAATAGGTAGTTCTTCAGTATTGAGCAGATTGTAATGCATGGGTGCTTTAAAGTGACGCACAAAACATCCTTGATTATTTCCTAAATCACATTAAATACGCTCTAGTCACTGCTGTTTGCGATACAATATTCGTCAGCACCACGTGCTTTCCATAGCTTACTTACCGCACTACGTCGTACTTACTTTGTACTTGCAAAAACAAAGTGCTAATCGACTTCAAGCATATTAATAACAAAATACAAACACTGTTGACTTATCTTGTAATACAGTACAAACCATCCTTCATTACATTTGGAGTTTCCTGCAAAAATCTATTGTTCATTATTTTTAATCTGATTGTTTAGCCCATAACTTATAGGGTCACCGAAAAAGTTATTCATAAAAGATGACATTTATCTCAAAGTATGTTCAAGAAGCTGTTGCACAGTAATAATATAATTTTAACAAGTCGAGATGAATAATGTCTGTAAACTGGGTTCCATTCAGCGTCCTTAGGATCCAAAGTAATCATATAACCTGTAAACCGTTTATGTGAAGAGACTGCCGTCATTCACTGATAGCTTCAATCTCTCACTACTCGAAGGTGTCGGTGTACCATAACTTTGAGAGTCATATGTTCAAAATGTAGACTAGGAACAACTAATAGTTACACTACGTACTAGCAAAGACGTCAACATTTTATTCGGTGTCTTCTCATTGCATGTTAATGCATGTATTGAGAACAGAGCCTACTGACGCCACTTGAAGACGAACTATGATGAACAATTTTTGAGAATCATGGGGATTCAGTACCAACAATTTTTGGTGACTAGTGGAGGTGAAACAACTTCATAACTTTTCGATTTGGAAGGAAAGTCCTTCATAGGAATGATAAATTTAAAATCTGAGATGCAGGAAAAAGTTAAGACGAAATAAATCATAAGGAATACAATTAACCACTGATAATTGTTTTCAACACAAAATTATGATAGGAGTATCGAATATATTTGAAACTTTAAGCAGATACTCAATGTTTTACTAAAAGTTTCATCTCACTGTAATATAACTAACCGGTTAGTCAACATGAAAGTTTAAATACTTGAAACTCGTGAATATTCTTACAAAGAGTCCATAGTTAGTGCATTTGTTGAGAAGTAAATAGTACACAGATTTCTGTACAAAATTAAATGAATAAGAAATCAAACACTTTAACAAATTTTAAAGGATTAACGTATAAATGAGGGTTAAGTTAAGGATCTGTAAACTGGGGGAAGGTTTTCTCTGGCGGTCGAATCGCAAACATATGAGAAACTACTGACATTCTTTCTTGTTCAAAGGATACCACTAAAGCATGAAGATCTTGGTAGAACAGTTGATCCAAACCATAAATCATTCCCATTAGGGACTCTAATTTCAAATATCGAAATCGGCTCTAAGAAAAAGCAAAGACAAATGAAATCGAGAAGCAAAAATGTTAAAACAACAAGTAAATAGGAATTCAAGATATCGCAGACATAGGGTCTCAATGAGAATATTGGTTTTCAGTAATTAAGATCATAAGACAGAACTACTAATTTAAATATTAACCAAAGAATACCCCTAAATCACCATCCGAGTCTTATTAAGAATTAGTAAGAAGCATGCTAATCATCTTAAGTAAAGTTTACTTATGATTATACAGACAATATTAATGTAATAGAATCGGGAGAAAGTCACATGTATCGAGTGTTCTAGCCGCCAACCAGAGTAGACAAAATACACTTTTCTAGCTAATCACATATAACTGGTTATCTGTCCGAAGTTAATAAGTTTACACCATATAAATCATAGCAGATACAGACCAAAGACAATGACGTTCGTTAATTGCTCTTGATACTGAAATTTATTGCTTAACACTCACAACTCTTACCAACACATACTGTAATCACGTTTAAAAAACAAATATCAGTCTACAAAATGTATTTCAAATAAATCCCTATGCGTCTTAGCAACACTTTGGGATTGTGTAAATCAGAGTAGGGTGGCCAGAAATTTAGCATCCTATCAATTATAGTGCTTATTATAAAGAAATAAACAGGTTTTATTAGTTGGTATGTTACGACAAAAAGATGCAAGAACATTCAAATGAATCCAGGTGATGAAAAAAGTATCTATAAGCAGTATTTTCTACTGAGGAAAAAATGGGTCGATATTCTTCCACGAGATAGCACTTTATATTAGATTATATTGTGTAGTAACTTGAATAAGAGGTTATACAGTGGTCTTGAGTAATGTTAGAGGTGTGAGAGTGGTTATCACTCCCGGGTCGCCCACACCGTGGAGGGGTTCTTTTAGACCTTACCTTATGCCTGTTACTCCTAATGGAGCATAGGCCACCGACCAGCATTCTCCAACCCACTTTGTCCTGGGCCTTCTTTTCTAGTTCCATCCAATTCTTGTTCATTTTTCTCATGTCTATCTCCATTTCCCGGCGTAATGTGTTATTTAGTCTTCCTCTTTTCCCTTAGCCTTGAGGATTCCATATGGGGCCTTGTCCCATGACGCAGTTGGGTGCTTTTCTCAATGTGTGACCTATCCACTTCCTGCGCTTCTTCCTAGTTTCTTCCTCCGCTGCAATCTGGTTTGTTCTGTCCCACAGTTGGTTGTTGCTGATAGCATCTGGCCAACAGACCCGAAGTATTTCGCATAGACAACTGTTAATAAACACTTGTATCTTCTGGATGATGGCTTTCGTAGTTCTCCAGGTATCCGCTCCATACAGTAGAACTGTCTTGACATTTGTATTGAAAATCCTGACCTTGGTGTCGGTTGATAGACAGTTGTTTTGAGTTCCAGATGTTCGTCAGTTGTAAATATGCTGTTCTTGCTTTATCGATCCGCGCTTTCACATCTGCATCAGATCCACCGTGTTCATCAATGATGCTGCCCAAATATGTAAAGGTTATTACATATTCCAAATCTTCTCTGTCAATTGTGATTGGATTGGTGCATTCTGTGTTGTATCGAGGAATCTTTCTTTTCCCTTTGTGTATATTGAGACCTACTGCTGCTGAGGCTGCTGCTACACTGATCGTCTTCTCCTGCATTTTTTGTTGCGTGTGCGACAGAAGAGCCGGATTATCTGTGAAGTCTAGATTGTCCAGCTGTACCCTAGCTGTCTATTGTATCTCATGATTCCACTCTAATGTTGACGTTTTCATGATGTAGTCGATCACCAGGAGAAAGAGAAAGGGTGAGAGTAGGCAACTTTGCCTAACACCGCTATTTACCTCGAACGAGTCTGTCAGTTGTCCTCCATGCACGATTTTGCAGTGTAATCCATCATAGTAATTCCGTATGATGTGGACTATCTTCTCAGGTACACCGTAGTATCGAAGAGGTTTCTATAGTGTTGTCCTGTTCACTCTGTCAAATGCTTTCTCGTAGTCAATGAAGTTGATGTAGAGTGATGAATTCCATTCAATTGATTGTTTCACAATGATCCATAGTGTTGCGATCTAGTCTGTACATAATCGATCCTTACGGAATCCAGCCTGTTGGTCTCGAAGTTGGGCATCTACGGAGTCCTTCATTTTGTTTAACAATACCTTGTTGAAGACTTGTCCTGATATTGTTACTTTTTACTTGTTCCTCATCCCAAATCTTATTGAAGAGAATATGGAGTATCTTCACAGTTACTTCTACGTCTGCTTTCAGTGCCTCTGCTAGAATGTTGTCTGGTCCTGCTGCTTTGTCACTCTTGATTTGTCTGATGGCCATGCTGATTTCTTCTATTATTGGTAGGCCAACATCGATTGGGTGGTCGTCTGTGGATTCTGCTTCGATGTTGGGGGAGGTCAGTGGGGCTGATCGATTTAAGAGTTCTTTGAAGTGTTCTACCCACCTGTTTCGTTGCTCTTCAATGTTGGTGATTACCTCGCCTTCCTTGTTTTTCACTGGTCGTTCTGGTTTGCGGCGATTTCCAGAGAGTTCCTTTGTCGTGTCATACAATTGTCTCATGTTTCCTTCTCTTGCAGCCTTTTCCGCCGTCGTTGCTAAATCTTCCACATATTTACGTTTGTCGGTTCTGATGCTCCTCTTCACTTGCTTGTTTACTTCTGCGTATTCAGCTTGTACCTTGGCTTTTTCTGCTCTTGTTCGACTGGTATTGATTGCTGCCTTCTTGTTCCTCCTTTCTTGAATCTTATCCAGTGTATCAACAGTGATGCATTCCTTGTGATGGTGCTTCTTGTGACCCAGGACCTCATGACATGTTGAAGTGATTGCCTCTTTGATCCCCTTCTAGTTGCTCTCCATAGTAGTTCCTTCTCCATTGAGTAGATCATGAAAGGCCTGGAACTTATTGCTGAGGGCTATCTTGAATTTGTTGAGTTTGTTAGTATCCTGAAGAAAGGCCGTATTGAACTTTTGTGATATTGTCCTCCCGATTGTCCAGTGCTTCTTGAGTTTCAATTTCATCTTGGCGACCAGCAAGTGATGATCTGATGCTATATCAGTTCTTTTGTTTTTCACGTCCTCCTGAACTTTTTGTTAATACAGATATGGTCGATTTGGTTCTGTGTAGTGTGGTCTGGTGAAGTCCATATGGCTTTGTGTATGTGTTTATGTGGGAATATAGTGCCGCCTATGACCAGTTTATTGAAGGCACATAGGTTTGCAAATCTCACCATTTTCGTCTACTTCTCCTAGTCCATGATGTCTTCATATCCGATGTTGTCCATTCCAAACTTGGCATTTAGGTCTCCCATCAGAATGGTCAAGTTCTTTGTTGGGTACGTCTCTACGATTGACTGCAGATTATTGTAGAATTGATCTTTAACGTCTTCATTGTAGTCGTTGGTAGGGGCATAGCATTGGATGACGTTCATTGAAATGCCTTCTTTTTTGTTGTGAATGATGCTTTGATGATTCTGGATCCGTGAGATTCCCATCCTATAAGTGCTTTTTGTGCTTGTTTGGACAGTATCAATGCAACTCCTTGTGTATATGGTGCACTTTCTTCATGTATAACAGAAGCTCCCCTGAAGCTAGTCGTTGTTGTCCAACTTGCGTCCAATATGTTTCACTGATCCCAAGAACCTCTAGGTTATACCTCCTCACTTCTGCAGCAATTCGAAAAACTCTCCCGGTGTCCCACATTGTACGAGCATTCCACGTACCTAAATAAATGGTTGCTCTGGTTGTTAGAAGGGGCATCGGCCCCGTGAATTCCGAAGGAACTTGGCTTTCATCATGAGGCGTCATAACTCTTCTAAATGAATACCTTCTGACTCTCAGGGCAGGATTTAAATGGTTTGAATAATTTTTCTGGTTGGCGATTTTTTAGCGAGTTAGTTTCCTATGGGATGGAGTCGCTAACCCTATGCCCAACCCTCCTCCTTTATCCGGGCTTTGGGCCGGGAGTAATTCCGGAGGGACTCCAGGCGGAGTTGGTTCTTCTAAAAGTACCTGAAAAAGAAATTGGTCTTAGTGACCTGAGAGCGTGACCGCAGTGCCCAGGAGACAACTGCTTGAGGTCGGTCATACACGACCTTTTAGTGGGTAATTTAGTGGGTTTACTGCTTTTAGTCTTACCGCTCTTCAACTGCCCTGCCTGACATGATAGGACCTTGAGGAACGATTGTTCCAGCCTGTGTAGTTCGATCGGTTCATCACGATAGGCAAGCCCCGCCACCATGTCAAGATAGCAACAACGGTCGGGCTTGAATAAGAGGAGTTATGAGCAACAGTTTAAATAGAATTTTTATGTTCAGATGAAGCCAGATTGTGATAATTAATTAACCTATGAGAAAGAGTCATAAAAAATGTTACAGTGATAACTGGTTAGACTATATTTAGATGTAAACATGTAAGTTTTTAGAGGAAATCTGTTAAGAACCATCACAAATCTTAACTTTTGGAGAAGTTTGACAATCTGACGCATGAAATCCATAACCAATTCTTACAATACATGATACTGATATATAAACATACCGACTATGAATTCATAACTGACTTCTTCTTTACATACAGTCGAAAAAAGTAACAAACAAATAAGTGTTCAACGAATATGTAATACCGTAAATTATACTAAAACTAACAGGAGTTATAAATTAACCCGAATTACCATACACCGGACAGTATCAATCATTCCTTATCCTATATTATTCATAATCAAGAAAAATAAACGCAGGATTTCTTATGATGTATATCTTATTATAATTTACTAACCATGGATATGGATAATAAGAATATTCATATAATTTCTGGCTCGATAGAAGTTAATTGATCAGTCATTTCGTTTCATCTGGTGTAAAACAGTAAAGTATCATTCGGAACACTTTGGGAGCTATTAGGTAGGTCAATAAATTAAAACGACCAGTTATTATGTAAAAAGTCACTCCCTCTTAGAAGTATACAAATTTAGAAACAATTGGTAGTTATCAATATTTTTAAGCATTGTCACGGAAAAATATCACAGAATATATATTGTACATTATACTGCCAAAAAGAAAATATTGATTAACAAACATGTAGTATTGTATTTCTAAGCTTAGACATTCCTGTTAGTGTCAATGTAAACTTGATTAACAGATGATAATAAAATGGACTTCAATTTTTTGTATCCAAATGCACATAGACATATGCATATACTTGTCTATAAAGACATGGAGATGTACATAGATGTAAAACTGTGATGTTCTTATTGCCCACTCGTTATTCCCAGTCACGTGCTTATTATTTGGTATGTGCTAGAAAAATATTACCATAGAGAAATTCACACATACCAAAATCTGTCCAATCAGATTTGAAAGTATTCTGTTATTAAGGTTTTTACGAAAATCATTAATACTATTACGATTGTTGTTTGTGAACAGTTTTACAGGCAAGTGTTTATTCAACAAATTGAAAAAAGTAAAGAATTTGTGCATAAATTTTCACAAATTCGTGCCATGAAGTTAAACTGTATAAAATCGTTGTTTAACATTTAAGCATCATTCCAATTCTTCCGAATAAAGACTAGTCTACATTCGTACAAATGTTAGGGATTTGACTTACAAACTTGGAGGTCTGATATTTAACAATGTATATTTGAGATTTTGTTTTTAACAATGTATAGGGTGAATAAAAGAAAAATGAAAACTAATGTATGTAAAATAAACTTGATATTTACGGTCTACAAAGAAAGGTATTAAAAAAGTTATGTTTGACTATGAAAAGAAAGGAATGTGTACTACACGATTAACAGGTGATTATTTTAGTTAATCTATGTTAAAAAAAGTTTCTATCCATTGTGATTGTCTCTATTTCGTTTTACTAAACCAATAAGACATTGAAATACAGAACATTCAAACAAGGTGTATACATAGATTTTTTTCTTTCATATCATTGATATTACTGCATTTACTACTGTTTGGAATGCTTGCCTTCAAGTTATAAACTTATTATATTAATTATGAGCAATGTCACTAGTAATATTTAAATATCGTTGAATTTAGAAGTAATGAAAAAGCAAAACTTATAGAAATCTGTTACAAAAATGCAATTAGTACATTGAAGCAACATTCCAGGCACTGGAAAAAACAATTCACAAGTCAAGATATATGTATATATATATATATATATATATATATATATAGCCGAAAATGAGATTTGTCCGCAAGATAGATTTAGGGGAGAAAAGTATTTAAATGAAATTCCTTATTTAATTTAACCTATTGGATAATTTTTACATCGACTGTATCTATGCATTTTATTATACAATATGAGAAACTAATCATTTGGTTTAAAATATATAATACAATTAATTATAGTTGAAGAATAAGTTACAAGTGGGTTTTCAATTATGATACCATTTATATAATAGTTAGCAGTTAGGAATTTTCATACTTGAAAGTTATCACATAATAATTCTGATGCAATACACCTATCCACTTAATATGGGTAGATTTTTTTGCTTATGTAGACTGAAAGTAGGTTGTTGTCAAAACAACTGAGTCAGTCGAAAATCATAAATAACACGAAGTTCCTTTATTGTATATCATTAGATGAAAATGATGACCAGAATATATGTATAACGATTCTAATAAATTAAAGTTAGAGTATCAACTTACTATAAAGTATTGTTCTTGTTCTGAGTTAGCATTTTTATATGCACCCACTTCACTATGGCAAGCTGTAAGATAGATAAAAATATTTAAGCGAAAAATTAGTAAAGTGAGCATAAATTGAAAATTGAATCAACCATTATCTACATATTTAAGTGAATATAGAAAAAAACTGATTACAAAAAAAATATAGTTTTAATTAAACATTGTGTCCACGGTCACTTTATTATAGGACATACATAAATGGTTCATCTATTTCCATTTTAATCGCGTCTTTACAAAATTTCCTTTAGTGTGATAAGTTATCGCAAATATATTCTTGTCTTACAATAAGTTGATTATAATTATCTACTTAAAGGAAATTCATTTATATTCAATAGTTAAACCAAATAGTACTTTATGATAAATAACAGGCTGAAAAAAACGTAGGACAGGTATCCAACTCAGGTAATGGATGAAGGGTTACACAAGATCATGGATTGATTGGAGTTAGACATTGACATCGTTGGATGCGTTCCGTGCGAGACTGAAGGTCCCGGGCTCGAGTCCCACGTGCGGGATCATGGATGCGCACTGCTGATGAGTCCTATACTAGGATGAAACGGCTGTCCAGTTATTCTAGGTTTCCAACGGTGGTCAGGTTTAGGTCGACTTGTGAATTCAACCTTGAAAATAAGAAAATCTCTGCAAATTCCCAAAATTGATAAGTGGTACTTTATGATAAATAACAGGTTGAAAGGATTGTTGCTTATCAAATAGTTTTTTACAAAAAAGTGGAACATACAATAAGATTTTAAAAAATTGATTTACTATAAGACTAACACTTGAATACGTGAAAACAACACTATGACTAGTCTATGGAAAAATTTTTAAAAATGCATTCATCTCAAGTTCCTGTTGGAATATACCGGGTGAGAGTAAGGAAAAACAATGAAAGATCAATTGACCATTAATCAAAATGCTGAAATCCGTTTCTAAACTCTTAGAATGAACAAAAATATTTTAACAGTTTGTGAAGAGAAAAGTTTTATATCAATAACAATAAACATACCAAGCAAATTATGCCGTAGGGATAATTGTAGTTTACGTAGATCGGTAAAGAAACTTTTACGTTCTACTTCAGGATCTTTTAAAGGAGCATTAATCCAGAGGTTGGGATGATGACGTTGACAGTGAGGAATAAGCAAACTAAAAAATACGCAGTAAAAATATATTGAAAACTTATGAGTGTGATTTAAAGCAGAAGAAAAGTCAAAGTGGCCTTTATTCAAAGATTAGACTATGATACTGAATTATCTCTCACTTGAATTTTTCCTCAAAGTAACACTACATTACGTATGAAAACATCTCATTTAAAGAAATTAGGGAAAATAAAATGAAAATATGGAAATTAGAATTCATCAATTTAAACTTTTACTACATGATAAATAATTTAATTAACACTTTACATATTTTACATAGTTAATGGTACAAAGTGATGAAAGTAGTAGTAGTAGTAGTAGTAGTAGTAGTAGTAGTAGTAGTAGTAGTAGTAGTAGTTTTCTTTCTGGATTCGTTGTCTATGTTTCATATACATTAGGAGAGTATCATTTTATGAAAAGGTAAATGTTCAGAAATTTATCCTTACAGTTCCCGTAAATTGTGATGATAGAAAAACACCGCATAGCATAGTTAAAGTTCTCCTGATATTTAGAGTTGGTTACAGAAAAATTAATCAGTATTCCCCAATGTCTTAATATGAAGCTGGTATTCTAAGGAAACTGGAGGATAAACAGATATAATTTGTAATACCTTGCACCAAAAAGTATTTAGTGTTGGAACTGTGATGAGAGAAGATAGCACAAACGGGATCTTGACGAAAATTAATCGAACAACCGCTAGTAAAGGCTTAATTTCCATAGAGGCACAACAGGTTTTCAACTTATTAGACATCAAACAATTTATACATGTTTTTAATATCGTTTTTATTCATAATCTATTTCACACTATTATAAGCTTTTTTGATATTCCTTTTAATCATCAAAATATCGTGTCAATTGTCAACAAAAATAAAACGAAAGTAATTAGGCATTTATTCATACATTGATTACAAACAAATATTGTCTATACTATGGAATAGAAACTAGACAAATTATTCTTTCCCTGTGTATGTGTAGATATAGCACACAACCAGAAACAATGTAGAGATTATGATTAACAGAATTTAATGACAATAACTATGAGCTTTACATAAAGCAATTCGCCAAAGTAAACCAAATGTATCAGTATGGGGTTGTGGAGAGCATCATGTTTTTTATTGAGATCATAAACCGGTTGATGTTAGACCACCACTGAAAACCTGGAAGCACTGGCTGGCCGTTTTGTCTCATTGTGGGACTTCTCCGAAGTCCACATCCACGATTCACGCCGTGACCAGTGGAGCTAATCCGTGTCGGGTAGAGATAGATATCTCCCTAGGTACAATGGAAGATGGTCGCGCAATTTCGTGGATTGGTTGAGTTTAGACATCAACACCGTTGGATGCCGGCTCAGTGGTCTAGAGATTAGGCGTTCGTGCGCGAGACCGAAGGTCCTAGGCTCGGACCCCGCGAGCGGGAGCGTGGATGCACACCGCTGAGTCCCATACTAGGATGAAACGGACGTCCATTACTTCCAGGTTTTCAGTGATGGTCTAACATCAATCGGTTCATGATCTCAATCAAATCGATGTATTTGTATAAGGTTTTGCATTATTGTATTTGACTACTTTTGTTGGATTTTTTTCATTTTGATGCACTGTTTTAGCTTTTACGTTCCAAATAACATAAAAGATATTTTATTTCTATTAGTTCGTTCTTGAGAAACACTTTGATACACTTTATATGTGATTTCCAAAACAGACTCATATAGTATTAAGGTACAAGAAGTGGATTGATAGTTAGCAACTTTTATTGATGTGATTTAACAGTATGGATTTGCTGAAGTTATACTAATGTAGTCGGGAATTGTGAAGTTCATAAGCGCTACCAAACGATTGATTCAAAAGAGAAAAGTAACATAATATGGTTCTAAGCAACTTCAAAGAGGTGGTTATTTCATGAGAGATTATTTTAATCAGTTGACCATTTTGCCATCAGATGACCAAATACAGATCCAGGTAATGTTTTAACTTGTATTGAGACAGCAGTCTTCCGCCCAATATACTAGAAAACTCCATTTGACCTTAATTAGTCAAGATTCAAACCTGAAAATTTATTAGTAGACTAGATATTCAAGAAAAAATTTACACTACAATTAATTCAATGCTGCACTGAGATAAGAAACTTTCAGTATATGTTAACAATTTGTCATGGATCTCACGTCTAAAAACCTTTTACTGGTATGATAAGATAGTTCGGTATTTGTTTCAATACCTAATGCTAAAGAAGTCAAATATTGGTCGAAAGAGAAATATTTTCCGAATAATTAAATTTTTCTTCTATATAAATTATCAAGAACGTTGTGCCCTTTTAGCATCGACATCAGAACAATGGATTTCCCTGCATTTCAAGACTAAACATAAAGTGTATATAATCATTCAACTGAAAGTAGTTTAAGAGATTAAATAAATTGAAATGATGGTCAAATAAGACAAATTCTAGGAGATATTATCGCCCAATGTAAACGATAAGTATGAGTATTTCATATATATGGAGACTAGAAATAAATTCCTCAATATCGAGGATTAATTGAATTTAGATATATGCACCGTTGGATGTCAGGTCATTGGTCTAAAGGTAAAGCTCTCAAAGCGGAACCTAAAAGTCCTGTGTTCAGTCCCCGGTAGGAATGATTACTACTGAGAAGTCCCATACTAGGACTAAACAGCTGTCCAGTGCTTTTTTAATTTTCAATGGTTGTCTGACTGAGAACGATCAGTGATATAAACTAAAATTTTAGTAACCTTTATAAGGCCCCTGTAATAAAAATTCCCCAAACTTGATGCACTCGTATATATCCGCTTGATAAGAACAACGCTTAACATCACACAACATAAATTTGTAGATGTGTAGTTGTCTGTTTATTGGACATTAAAAAGCCACTACAGCGGATAGATTTTTATATACTAATCCAGGAATAATCAAATAAAAGTATAACATAGTAATGTAATAATTATTAATTATGAGAATGGTAAATTTTTCATTATTTACTTTTGATAGTAAACACCTGATTGACTTGAATCAACACGTTCCCATCCCAGTGGTACATACGGTCCAATAAGTGGATGATTCCATGTGGATCTTCTGGTTGAATCACATGTATAATATGATCGACCAAGACCTGATCGTCTTTCAGACCATCCATTCGGTAAAATTAAACGACTATTGTTGTCCATTTCAATTAATGACTAGAAATATTTTTTCAATGAAAGAAATCACTCAAATAAAGTTAGAAAACATATTTTATGATAAGCTAAAACAAGCATAAGCATCTATTTCTGATTAATAAAACAGTTAGATAAAGTGATTAACAGAAACTGAACAAAAACTATATTGAAAAAAGCACACAGATTTACTCAAAGTATTTAAAAATTTACATGTGAAACTTACTGAAATTTTTGAATAGAAATTAGAATGATCCATTAAAGCTAATCCCGGTTCAACGGGTAATTCTGGAGCTAAATCAAAACTTGACTTAGTATATCTCATTCCTATTCTACTTTGATTATGATAAGCGGCTAAATCATTGGCACTAAACGAATTAGTCATTGAGCGTAAAGCCGGTGACTGTAAAACGTTACCATTATTATTATTGTGATGAAAGAAGCTTTGTGAATCATTTGTTTGATCTGACAGTATAAATACCTGGTTACTTGGATTAACTGCATAATAATGCTCACAGCGATTGCTATTTTGTTTAAATCTATCAAGTTCTGAAGCTGCTCCACGTTCAGATGTATGACTTGATAAATTATCTGTTTCAGACGAATATGTAAACCCAGCATTTGCACTACCAGAACGAGGCATACAATTTGTAAATCGTCCATAAGTCGGACGTTGAAAATAAGCATTCCAATTGTAGTTTTCTGTAAGATAAAAAATTAAGTGAGCTAATACATTTACGCAATGTATACATGCATCATATGGAGGTTATAAAATTCTTAGTTATATATCTCAAAATAAAGGAAATATAATGTCTTGAATCAAAAACAAGCATATGGAGAAAAATTCTGGATTTCACATGTTTTTGAAAAAAATTATACCAATTGATGTAAGCAAAATCAGACTGTATAACGTGACAAATGTTTAATAATGAACATGTAAGATGATGTTATAATAGCTACAAGTGTATGTATGCATTTTGTAACCACTCCATTTCGTATTCATAATATCAACTTTATTAAACAATAATTAATTCTAGGTGAAGGAAAAGTGTTGTAGTGTCCTGTTGTTATAATACTCTCAACGTTTTACTTCAAATTGAATTTTTTTTCCTTGTCTATATCATCCAGACTACGTTTTTATTTAAAGTTAACAATATCGTTGAGTATTCATGCGAACTCACGAGAATAAAGGCCGTTATGTATATCCTAGATTTCTTTTTTGGCAAAGTAAAGTTTTAATCACACTAAGATGGAAAAAGCAGATGAGAACATATAACTTATGGATTTTTTAATCAACCTAAAAGCAATAAATCGTCCAAATATTTCGGATTCTTCTAATTTCTAAGGAAATAAAAATGTCATAATCTAGATAAGAATTTAGTGAAATATAAATTAATCTTATTTACTAGCATGCACATTGAAAAAAGTGTTTGTTTACTCATTTACAAAGTACAAATTCATGTACTCGAGTTCAAATCACACATATTGTGTTGGAGCTAGCGATTGATACTTTCAGACTACTTAAATGCAAAGTTGGTGGAGCAGGATTCAGTTCTGTCATATATAACTCAAATTTAAGTAATTTAAGTATTAAATAGTATCTTTAGACGTTTAGTCAGAATTGGTCACAATGGCACAGAAGCATTTACTCTTTAATTTACTCTAGATATCGAGTTCCTGTATTTCATTATACACATCTTTTCATTCGTGCTTCCTGAACTATATTACGAGTGATTACTCTTTTTCATTATCATTACTACTACATTACTTTAACTCCTTCGTTATTCATTCTGTTAATTTCATATTTTCTTGCTAATATAATGCAATGATTTAAAGTAACGAAGCCATGTGCCAGACTATACATTGATTATAACCGACAGATCTCCACTTATCGATAAATATAGACAGCATCTATACTGAAAATATAAAGGAATAAAGTATGAAATTCAAATTTATGGATATGTTTAACCTCAAAACTCAGGCAGTAAATAAACATACAAAAACTAGTATGCATTACTGATCTTCGAAAAGCATGACATTAAATAAAAAACTCTCCAACCTATATCAGTTTGCTTAATTTTCTTAAAATAATACGAGAATTTTTTTAGCAAACTGACACCTGCCGTAATTTCAAGTTAGACTAATATTCACTGATTTGAGAGCATATAACTGCACACATGAAAATAAATATATTTTTTTGAAAATACCACGAAAAGTACATCAGATTAGGTATGTGTTCACATAATACTTAAATTTACATAATATGAAAATATCTAGAAAAAAGAAGTCGTATTATGAATGCTTCAAGTGTACGAAACTCGACACATTCAACTACTTGTATTCACATACACACATACATACGGAAGAAAGAATGGTAAGAAAAATAAATAAACGAAATGTTAAATGCCACCAACAGTGAATTTTCAAACAAAAGGGCATCTCTGCCAATATATCATCTGGTATTCATTAAATTTAACACTGAAGTGTATAGAGAAAAATACACAAAGTGAAAAAGATGAAATACATACAAATTATAATTATATCACAAGTGAATAATTAGCTTTCTCACTGTAGAACAAAGGATTCTTTAGATGGGAGTTACAAAATAAAACAATATTTTATAATCGCTCTTATTTCTTTAAGTGAATGAATTCAGGAAAATGTTGAGAAAAAGTAAGCTGAATAATCCAAACTGTTTTTTTCCTGTTACATGTTCCGCCTGATTTATAAAAAGCAATCGTATTTTTTGGCTCAGTGAATGACAATATTACTTAGTTCCTTTTAATGATAAATATACAGGAATATGGTTGGTAATGAAATTATGTTGGGGAGCATGAACTGATTTCTTATTGTACAGAGTGTGTGTAAAGATTCCTGTGTTAACGATTTATCTAAATTTTTATAGTTAAGATGTAGTTGTATTAGAGGTATCTTAAAATATAGATTTTTTAAGGTAACTTTTTAACTGACTTACAAAAGATAACCGTCAAAGGATTCTATTATATTAATTAGCATGTTAACTTCAACTAACAGCTTAGTTTAGGAGGAGGTATGAAAACACTCCCATTCTACTTTTCCCTTATTTAACTATGTTGAGATAATAAAACAGGTACTATTATTCTTAACTAGAAAAACTTGTCGTGCACATATTTATTGTAACAAATACATACGATGCCTTGAAACAACTCTTTGCTCGTTTCTTTTAACATGATAAATAACTTTCTGTCACTAATATACTGTTCAAAATAATCTTAGATTTCATGTGTGCATGGTAGTATCTTCATGGTTTAGAACTTCTGCAAAACACTATACATCTCGGATAGTCAGCGAAGAACAAAATTCTTAGATCATTCATAATTACGGATGGGTTTTACTGTGAAACGGTGAAACTAAAAATATAGTTGAGAGAACAATTTTATTCTAATATGTGAGAGTGACAAATTAAATCAACTCGCTTGTCAGTATTACGCATATTATTGAGGGTCTCAATAATGAAATGAGTCGAAAAATATAGATAATAGGACAGCTATCGATAAAAAAATTTACTGACTGATTTTCTCTGTTTATTGTATACATTTTTATTACTAATCAGTTCTTTTTACCGTCTCAACTTACATCCGTTCTTTTTGACGTAATACTAAGGTTCTCTCAAATTACACTTGTATCCTAGAGTGGTGTCCACATTTCCTTCAACCATTATTTTAGTAGTTAGGTACATCGTAACCAAGGTGAGAAAAATTCCTTGAACTAAGCACGTTGTATCATCCTAAAACAAAATATTCTTTTCTAATGCTACTAACTTATCAACAGACATTTTATTTTACTGGAAGTACTCTCGAATCACGTGATAGACAGTGTCGTAAATCATGTCCAATGACACTTCCAAGCCGAAGAAATAACGTTTAGCTCGGTAAACTAATACTCAGACTGACTTAAAAACATGACTTAGTGTAGTGAGAGGCAAGAAACACAATAAAATGGGATACCTTCGATAGAAATTCACAAATAAACATCAACATACCTAGGTTATTGTTGTTACTGTAAGAAAATGGATCCCAGCGAACAGCGTTCATGCAAGGAAACCAAGGATAACCAGGTGGAGGTGAATACACACCTGACGGTCTATAAGCTGCATAAGAATTTGCTGGGGTTCTATCCGAATAGGTGTAGTTTATATTAGCAAATCGTTTGATTCCATCAGGATTTGCACATGAGCATAGACCACCGGCTGCCGTTGCTTGTAGTGGGTTTTCTGTAGTCTGTGGATCATAGGAGACGAAATGGCAACTTTCAGTCAAAGGGGATGTACAATTGCCTTCGTATACGTGTCCATGGCTTGGATCCATGCAGCAAAAATGCCCCAAAGGCGAATAGTTTGGAGGAGAATTCATCTGTGTGTTGTAAAAGTAGATAATATACAATCGATTTTCTAACATTTTGCACTAAAAATTATATATATATATATATATATATATATATATATATATATATATATGTAAGTCATTGAGTTAGAACCAATAATAAAACATTAAGCCATATCTTGGTTTTAGAATTATGTGAACTATGATTATTAAAACCACCTTTCTCAACCTACTGATCAGCATTTCGTTATGATATGGGAAACATTTCATGTAACAAGTAGTGCAGAATTTAAGCTACGTGAATGACTTGGAAACTATATGATCAAAGAGTAAATTTCAACAAATTAGTTGATTCCACGATATTCTCCTTAAAAAGCTAATATCAATATATCAATCACTGAGAAACTTCTAGCATTAATTTAGCTTTCTTCATCATTATTCTAAATAGACGATGAACAAAAATAAGGTTAGGACTTCAAAATCAGGTGGTTGGTACTTTAACACTCAACCAATGCACTAAAATCATATCGGTGGAACTTTCTATTAAAAGTCAATCTGCTTTATAGTGTGATTATCATCCTTTATAGTGGGTGGGTGATTAGTGTAATATGTCTTGTAACCGTACAACTCGTCTATGACTCACGGGTTTGCATACCATGCCCCAGGAATTGTGTAGAGTTTATAAATTCTATTTGGTTGTTTACCTATAAATCATAAGCATTGGAAATTTGTTATTTACCCATTCTTTCTGTAGTTTATAATTTGCTTGTTTGTACTGATATCATTATATTCCCGTTGACTTTCTGTTGTATTTTTTGCAGAGTCCAGTACTTTAAACTAGTATGATTTTTTGGTTCCCACATTATTGTGTTTTTCAAAAACATTTACAGGTACCTATTTATTAATAGTAGATATCTATAAAATAAACGATTTCATACAGTTTGATGTTGGGTTTTCATTAGTACTCGTTAAAGCATAAACAAAACCCAATACTTTTAAGAAACTAATCACAACAATCTAGATAACTCGAATGTGAAACTAACAACAAAGTATCGAAACATATTAGCTTCTAGATTACTGTGATGAATATCAACGTATTACTCATAAACTGATTTTACTGAAATGTTTTTTTTTCAATAAACAGAGGCTCATAACAACAAAAATGATCTTATAACAGAAATAAGGAAAAATATACAACGGAAATTGTTAAGCTAAATCTAGAACACAGCAGATGATCAACATAAATTTCAAACAAATACCAGTTGCATAATAAATAAACCAGATACAGAATAGGTTAGGTTATTTGCTATAACAAAGGCTTGTCTCACAGCTCATACACATACAGACCTAATGAAAGGTATCAGTTAACATCAACACACAACATCGAGAACGAGTACTTACTGTGGAACTGATTACCTGGCAGAATCTAACAAAATCAATATCAGGAATGTTTTGACTGGTGAATTCGATAACACAATAAAACAATGAATCCAAAAGAACGAATACTAGATAATTATTTAAGTAAAAAAATGAATATTAGTTTAAAAAAGAAATTATTGTAGTGAATTCCTCACATGCTGTGTAGATATGGTTTTCATACCACAAAATCACCATAATGATCCATTATATTTCAACATTAGTAACAATATTAAAATCCTTGTTTATTAACATATTGAATATCAACAATACTGAGGAAATTTTAAATACAGTCTAAGACTAATAGTGTGTAAATTCAATATAATGACTTACCACATAAGATAAAGGCGTGACTAAACGATTCATGCGTTGTGAAAAAACTGTATGATCAAGACCGAATTGTTGTTGTTGTTTCAGGTGTGGGTAATAGTAATGGTGGTAGGGAAATTGTGAATATGATGGATGCCTTTGTGGAAACATGTGAGAAGAAATGTACCACTGATACCAATTCGGTGGCCAAGAAGTTGCTTGTCCCTGTTGAAGATCGGGAGCATATATGTTATTTGACTCTGTGCAGTAATTCGTATGATTAGTATTGCTATCTGCGTTTCCAGTATGAGAAGAGCTTGAGTGATTTATGAGGGGAACAGATACGTATCCACTGTTATGTGAATGTGTGACCAAACCAGGTTGGTTAGATGTTGAAGTACAAGATTCACTAGTCATTGTTAGTTTTTCATCTAAATTCCATTCTGTTTGTCCTGGATAATCTTGGGAATAAAATAAAAAAAATTAAATTATGTTAGATTGCTAACAGATACGATATTTACGATAAGTATAGTCAGTGGTCAATTTGTCGACCAATAGTAAACAATACAGAACACGATTCATATGTCGTAAAATCTGTTGTAGTCGGTTAGCTAGCCTAAGGTAGTACTTCTAAAAGAAACATTTTCACCCATTTTTCTTAAATTATACGATTTAAGTTTTAAATCAATGTTAATTCCCATTACATGTTGGCAACTGAGTTTGGATATACTTTGGGTATTAGCAGTGTCCCATAAGTAGCACAGAATTTAATTTTAGTTTGGCTTTTCGAACCCATCGTTGAATAGCTTTTTATAGTATAACTAATCAACTTCATACAAAAATGACAACTACGTTTTAAATTGGTTGCATCGTCATTTTCTTCATTCCTTTCCTTAACTTCTAATTTCTATTAGTTGCCTTAGAATAATATCTAATGCAATGTGTTATTCACCAGTCTTATTCGTGTAAGATGGTTGTTCAGTATCATGAATTAACTGAAGTTAGACTTGGACACCACTGGATCCCAGCCCAGTGGCCCACAGGTTAGGCTTTAGCGCGCGAGACTGGGGTCCTAGGTTTGATGCTTGGATGCAGAGTTGTGGGTGTATGTCGTCGAGGAGTCTCATACTACGATGAAACAGACATCTAATGTTTTAGGGCTTTAGGTAGTTGTCTAACTTAGGTCGGTTCGTGATCTCAATAAAATTAAACAGTTTCAACAACCCTATTCATTCATGTTTATTGGTGTGATCTCTAATTTTTATTAATAGTTGAGCTACTACGGCATTTTTGTGAAGTACTTTCAGAAGTTATAACAGTTAATTTTCGAATACTTTTTAAGTAAACATTTTTAAAGCCATTATTTGGTGTTAAATGTCCTCTTCTGGTTTTATTTTAATAAAACACCACTGTCCAGACTATTTTTTTTCAATAACAAAAGTATGGATAACTTAAGCTATTAGTGATCGCATGAAGTCCATATTATGATTCCAACGGTTTCACGTCTTTATATGTAGAATTGATCATTTCTGATGCCGTGAAAACCTCATAGGGGATGCTAACAAACAGAATATAAATGTACCCAAGCATATTTTTAATGACAAAAGCTGAACACTTTATGCGTTTCCTGATTTTGTTAACATGCTATAACCCAAAAGCACCAGGAAAGAAGCCACCAACAGATTTACCTGGTAAACTGTAAGACTTGTAAATCAAAAAACAAGAGGAATAAACAGGTAGTCGACTCTTACCAGACTGCAAGTTCGTATACATTGGACAAGAAACTTCGTTTAAATTACTGGGGTGTTGCGAAACGAGTGTTGTAGAAGAGCTATTGACGGGTTCCTCAGCCTTGTTGGTGGTGATAATACCTGTTTGAGTAGTTCCTAAATTCATTGGGATGGAACTGTGTGGTTTTTGTTTAGTTAACATGTGTGAATTGTGGTCAGATGAATTTCCCGACAATGCTGAGGGGGAATGTCCTGAACTCGTTTGCATTGTTTTCGCACATGACTCAGGTTTTAACTGAACATCCGAACTGTTTGTGAAAGCGTTGTTAGTTGGGTGATCTGGGCCAAATTTACTATCCAAATACCGCTCAAAATGCTGGAAACCTATGGGTAGACGCTGATGCATTAAATCAGCATTTGAATGGCTACCGTCTTCGGATATTCCGGAACTCAGTCGGCTACCTCGAGATTCTGACGTCACCTCAAAGCGATTGTTTCTCACAGCACTGCTACTACGACTGCTTGATAATGATCTAGCTACATATGGTGACTCCGTACACATACTCTGATCATCTCTGTTTGACACCGCACATGTTTCATTCCGTTCAGTTTTACCATGCTTGCGTGGTTTATCCAGTTCAGTCATTTTAGATCCATCTTGTCTCAGTGAAGCATTTGTGTATGCAGAAGAAGTGCGTAACACCAACAAATCTCTGACAGCTTTAAGAAGATACTGCAACTAAAAAAACATTTTATTAAGCATATCGATTCCTAGGTCTCGAACAAGTAAAAAATGTGAAACGTTTTGTCCATATAAGTGTTTCTAATGCAAAAAACAAATTAATGCCCAATTTACTTACAGTTCAATCAATTAGGCCCAGAAAATCCCGTTTTTATAAACAATTTAAAGTCACAGATCTAAATCGTAACAATGAGTTATCCACTGGTTATATTAAAAGTGGAAATAGTGCTAAATGTAGTTAGTTCTACGAATTAATAAATTAGAAAATCTATTTGACATGATGATTCGCCAACCTATCACTCAATAAAATGGCAGGAAAGACAAAACAGAGTAAATTTAAAGGTCATAATAGAAAATTCATCCTTAAACCATAAAGATGTCAAAACTCAGACATCTCTTATTCACCTAAGAAACCATTCAGTAAAGAATAATTAAGACAACTGAATGTTCAGCGAAATATTTACATTCACCGAAACAAGGGTTTGTGTTTTAGGGATGAGATAACGATCACTTGTGTTATATTCATATAAGAAATGCACAATAAACATTCTACAAGAGCATATCAAGAAGGATTATCGAAACTTGGCAACTACTAACAAACCGTATGTTCCTCCTTAAGTTTCCGCTTTTAGTTAAACGTCCTTTCTACAATAAAGATGGTCATTCTGGTAACCAGTCATGTAGATTTTTGCTCGGGTATTTAGAAAAATTATGGATTCTTTTCATATTTTTCCGTGTTCATTGTTAATTATTCATCCAAATCTCCTTAGTCATAGCCGCCAATTACTTTCGGAAACAACAACTAGCAGGTTTATACGAGATGAACCCGTACGGGTCAACACCTCTGACAATTAAGGGTAAATCTCTCAATTACATTTGCATTCACATTAATTCTTCTTTTGGAAACAAACCACTCAAATAACCACATGTTCTCAATCTCCTCAAACTTAATTATAAAATAAGTGTGAAGATATTAACTGGTTCCGGGTTAGACATCATGTTTTGAAGGTGATAAACACTGATTCTAGATACTGGCAAACTTTTAAAGTAATTCACCTCATCCCTGAAAAGATAGTCTTCTCAACGCGAAATAGGAAACCTCCAAGAACTTTCATCAAAGAACCTTTCAACACCAGTGGAGCAAAGAATTAGGATTTCTGAACTCAAAAATATTATATAGGAAATTGACAAAGAATGAAGACCAAGTTAGTACATTTTTGGTTAACTCGAGTTATTTTCGGTCTTTGTATACTTCTTATCTTCTAGTACAAAGACAAGTAGTAGCGGGACTTAATGCTCTGGAGGCTTTTAGTAAATCAGATTGCTGTTTCTTAGCCTAAACATCACTATGAACAAGATTCTTCATGCTTATGTTTACCGGGAATTAAAAAACGTATGAAACGTTACTATGATTCTGAATTTTTTACTTTCAATATTTAAAGATTCATCATCATTGTGGAAAGTGGTAAAAACAAAATACACAAAAATGCTACATAAGAAATTTTAGATATTTTAGCGATTGAAACAATTATTACGCCGCCCTATCCATAAACATAGTGATTTCAGAAGACGAGCGGTAATAAGAGTAAAACATCTAGTGATCATTGCTGCCCAATACCTTACGGCACTACGATACGTGAAATTAAGTTTTCAACATCCATAGGTTGAAACAGCACACTTTTGAGCCCAACTTTCTTATTTTTTTTGAAACAATGGGAAAACTTTAACAGATTAAGACACTCCAATCAATATCACATTCATTTACTTAGTTACTGCATTTTAAACTAAAGTGCTAATACACTGCAAAAATCACATTGCATTCAATTTGAACGCTAACCTCGTCGAAATTAAATTGCTGAAGCACATTGCTTTCTGTGTAAGTTTGGCTTGGGCGTTCATCTGAATAAGAACTAATGTGTTGTCTATTTAGAGGCGTAGCAGAGTTTTCGTTGGAATAAACCTGTTGTGAATCATTATTTTCAAACGTCGGTTGATTTTGAAAGAGGTTCCCAGCCATTGACGGTGACTCAACACCTTTTACTCGAGGTTCGCAAACTGGATTTAAGGAAGCACTTCTATTGGGGCGCATCCGATTTTGTGTACTATGATAAGGGTATGGTTTTGAGTCTAATAATCCAAAACAAGAAAAATATTTAATGGTTTAAAAACTTCACTTATTGACAAACATTTAGAAAGAAGAGGCACGTGTTATTTATCACTACCCATAAAAAAGAATTTAGTAAGAACTCTACCAAAGCATAGTAATTTATATAGTCGCACAGTCATATTAACATTAGCCACAGTGATTATAAAAACTCTATCTACTTGTCTTATATAAAACAAAACCGGGGATAAAACTACCAATTAAATTCCGTTACAACAGTCAATTTATTCAAGACAAATTTATACTAAAGAGTAATTTTGTTTTTCAGTTAACTTCGTAAGCCAAATAAATTCTCTTGAATACTTGTTTTATTTATGACGATAACATTTTTCACATTATCAAAAAATACTCAAGCCTAAATTTATGTAGTTGATGAATGCAATACAGTGAAAGAATAAGCTTAGTTGCATAATTTAACTGAAAAACTAGCCTAAAAAAATTATAGTCAATTAAAGGGTAGAAGTGGGTTCCTGATATCTACATGATAAACTTGTGCTGATACTCAAAAATTGAAGCTTGCTACGAAGCATATAGAAAGTGGGAAAAAAATAGTGTCCCTATTTAAGTACTAAATTGTACTGTCTTTGAGTTTAAAGTAGTGATATATTGATATAAGACTTTTTGGAAAATTCGAAAACCAACTTAAAATGAAAAGACAGTTCGTCGATGAGTTATGTAGATCGATTGATGAAATGTTAACAAACTGTCCAGAATTTCGCATGTAAAAAGGGGAAAATCATTAAAAACTTGTAATTTATTTCGCCCAAGAACAGTAATGGAAAGTTTCAAGTAAAAACTGAAAGGAACACCTAAAACATTCGGACTAAATTACAGAGAGTAGTTAATTCTTTATTATATTCTAAAGAAAAATAAATAGTCTTAATCTAGCCTGGTTTCATTTAAGGAATATTTATATTTTGAGCATACCCATAGACGTCATATTCCTCAAAGCATTTTCAATGCGTTGCTCCAAAAACTGTAATAAATCTGTAGAGCACATTTTCTTCTCAGTCTCACCAGATTTTGGAGAAACTGAGGGATTTACACAACCAGACGTTGTTTCGCAATAACCATGCGCCAAACCCGTACAAGGGCTACTTGCCATCATTCTCTGCTCATCTGCTACCAAATCTGACAAGTAATGTTCCAAAGCGTTTTGCGTGCACTGTGAACCCGGCATTCGAGCATCTGGTAATCCAGCTATATTTGAAAAACCTAATAAAATATAGTAAGGTATTAAATAAAAAGAATAGAACGAGTTAGTAAAACTGGTTAGGTATAAGCGACATACCCAGCTGGCCACGAACCGTGGTTAGTGTGATGACCGATAAGTTTAATTTATAGCTTTGGTCGAGGGACAGTCAAAAATAGACCGTGTTTTCTGCCTTCAGGAAACATGTTCAGTCTCAACATACTTTCAGTAAATTCGTTTGAATGCTAAGCACAATTATAATGGCGGCATAATAAATATACTTTTAAAAATGTTTAAATCGGGAGCAAGCTCAAGAAGTGACAGGCTTTGCCCGGTCATTGTTGTTGAATATTTGATACTTCGCCAAAGCATATAAAGTAATATTCACAGTTTACATGTGACAAAAAGAGACTAAAAAGATACAGATTCTTCATAAGTATTTTGTTTTATAATCATTGAGCATTAAAGCGCATTATTATTTTCTGAAAACTGTCTGTGAAACTACGGGGTAGTAAACTTCTAAAATGTTCTAATGTTGTAACTTAGTTCAATCACAATACCAGTTAGTGAAGAAACTTACAAAATGCTTTTTACCGTGGAAAAAATTCAAAGGTTTGTGATTTAAGCAAGGAAGCAATTACCAGGCAGCATCACGAGCGATCGCTAAATAGGTATATTCTTATTAAGCTGTTGAATCATCTTCTAAGAACAAAATGGGTTGGTTGGTAGAGTTGCAAATATTTAGTTACAAAAGAATCACAATTAGTAACAAAAACTTTCTTTCCATAGAGTTTAAATCTTTATCATAATCATATGTTTTTGATGATGTATAAACATCCTATTACACCAAAATAATAGTTATGACCGTCGAACCTAATCCCGCTGACAAATATTTTACATATTTTATTAGTTAAAGAGTTCAATCCGGAACAGATTGGACATAATTCACTTGTATATACTTACCAACATTCCATGAGGCGTGCCTCGGTTGAAGACCATAGAGTTGTATAGTGGATTTTCTCTTAAGTTCACTCGTGTCTTGTTTTTCCTGACTACCAGAGTACGAAATATGTCGTTCTGTGGACTGGAATGATGAGTCGTTGTCGATACGCATAGGTGAAACAGCCGGTCCATTATCCGAGAGATTTATCCGACCTATTCTATTACATAACTGTTCATCTCCTAGCGCGTAAGTCTCCTGATCATCTGAGAATCTCTTACAACACTGCTGAAAGTTAGCACCTCCAGGTGAGTTCTTCGTAACATTCAGTAAATTTGGTGGCTGAGTATTGGACGGTCGGTCACGTGAATGTTCTCTTGTTGAAGGAATCCTGTCCTCTGTCTCATAAGAATAACCTGACACATTGCATGGACTAGGTAACAATCTTTGACTAAAATCTTTTCCATTCAAAAACGACACCCTTTCAGAGACTGTATGAAATGATTCTTCACTTCCAGAAAATGAACTAGATGAAGCCACTCTTCCACTCACAGAAAAACTATCAAATGACCTGGTGAGACCCTGTTCATTAACCTGTGGAGAACATGGGGTGGCTATTATCACACCTGTAGGTTTAGACTGAAGTGCGGACACACTTCCTGATGATGACGATTTCACTACTTCCTTCATATATCGTTTGGTACGTTGTATATCTTGTGGCTTAACAGGAATATTTGATTTCTGAGGCCTCAACTTTCCTCCTGAAGACATGTTTGGTCCACTAGATATCAAAGATTGGTGTGGTGTTGACGATTTCGGAGTTACATACTGAGGTTTAGCGACATGAATGTTCGGACATTTGTGATTCACTGGTAAGTAATCAGAGCTATTGGCGAAGTCCGATCGGGGTTGCATGGTTGAAGACTTTGTGGCATTCGAAGGCCATACAAGAGATGAGACATCAGAATTATTAACTCCCGAACTTTCTGGCTTGACTTTATTCATTTGGATTGTGACATCATTCCTACCTTCACTCGTATTGCGTACAAACAAACGAGGGTATGGTTCATCTGTACACTTTTTTGTGTATTTCCCAGTCACATTACTAAGACCGGGTAATTGTTCTAATTTCCGCTGCATCCGACCAACAAACGTAACGATGATAGCATACAAGATACGAATTATGCGCGCCTGGTAAGTCCAAACACTTGCATTGGTCAAACAGGCCGATACGCATTCCAAAATTAAATATCTTTTACATATTAGAGATGAAAATATACATACATTTTTCTGTCGCAAAGTTGTTTTGGATGTTAACAAACAGTACAACGTAATGTCGTGAAAATTGTAGATACGCACATGATCACATCGGGCTCACCAATTGTAGCTTGGAGTCGATTCGCGGTTGACTATGGTCACCATTACAAGAAGGTTGCGTACCAGATATCAGAACGCGATTGGTGTAATGGAAACAATTATTATTATAACCAGTTGTACTAGGGATTGTTTTACCGTACTTGTTTGTTTAGCTTTACCAAAACACATACTTTCTTCCATTGATTGTGACCTTGCACTGATCCGGTTACGCTCAGTAGCCACACTTGTAACCTGGCACGATCTCGGTGTTCTTCTGACACCACGAGATCGCCAACAAATACATGTCGACTACAGCCAGCAACTGCCTTCTGATATTTGGCTCACGTAATATCTTATCCGTTAACTGGCACGTAGTTCTCCTGTAATGGTGATCATAGTCAATCGCGACTCGACACCACATTACAGAATAATTGCGTTTTGACGCATAAGATTAAAGAACTCCAAAAAACCTACAGTTCACAATAATTGAATTTTTTTATATAGATATGGCATGATAATAGGGAACTTCCAGCATGGCTTCAACTTACCTTTATAACAACTATTCGTTCTGGAGTGAATTCGATAACCTAATACGAAGGATTAACTGAGCAATTATTTATGTTGTGATAACCAGTGGTAACGGTTGAATAGGATCATGAAACCAGCAGAACTAACTGGTTTAAATTTATCATTCGTCATGTTCTGTATTGTGCATTATGTAACCTCATTTAGCACTATAGTCTCGGTTATTCAGGCAGTTGTTTGCAAGACAACAGCTTTACTAGTATTTATTTCCAACAGCTGTCAACCATTTCAAATTAATTAGACAGCTACATCAGCTGGCTCAATTATTTCCATCAGTGTTCATTGTCTGAAAGGTCATTGATAAATAACCGAACTCTATGTATGATTACAAAGCACTTCAGCTTTATTTTAGGCCTAGGGTCAAAAGATATACGACGCAAACATCTTATTAACCGATATTTACATTTATGTTTATGTTTACGTCATAATGATGCTCATTACCCACTTTTTTATAACGATCTGGTGTACGCTAAAGTATCTGTCTACGGCAGCGCTTGGATGTTTAAGTACACTTCATGGTCTTCTATCGTATCTAATCGGAGTAGTCTAACTACTCGTCAAAACTGGTGCTGGTGAATTCGTTAATCATCTGATGATTCAAAAATCTTGATTTTGAATGAGTGAATTCATTCCTGTTGAATTCAGCTTTATGAAAAAACACTTACTTAGTCAATTAGCAAAAGTCTGGACAAGAATACTATGCATTTAAAAAATTAGATACATAACAGGATCAGTTAAACATAACAATTACAAGGATTATGATGTTAGTGATGGATGAATAGCGAGATATATAGAAGCTTAGACAAATCGGTGATGATGCTTCTTATCTGCTCACTAAATGAAAACGACTGCTTTTCCACGCGGAAGTGAATCTTCAATGAGCGAATCGCTGTATGGCCACCAAACAATATATCTTGACAAGGATGCTCTACTAACGTCGTTTGGAAGAGCATTCGGAATATGGTGAACAAGTTGCGAACCTGAAATTCTTTACAAAAAAATATTTTAGACCCTTACCAAACGTTGTAATGTATTTTAGATATTTCTAATCTCAACATCCTTAAAACTAATATTCTGTCTGTTGTTTGCTGTGAACCTGTTATTTATAACGTGACAAAATCGCCAATCGGAACACCGACCTTGTCCTTGCGTTTCCAGCAGATCCTCATATTTCATTCAAAAAAATCATGACGAAAACCGAAAAATAACGGTCCTGTCAAAGAAGAGTGAGACATGTTAAAATACGGCTACGAAGGATGAAAATTTGTTGGGTGCAAGAGGGAGGGAATCAAGCGAAGAATAGTATCGCTGTCAAACAACAGACGTTGGGGTGACTAGAAAGCACTCATAGAGTGACATAGATGTTCAAAAAGACTTTGTATGTTCTTCCGTTCAACCTTGCGAACAAATCTCCTATACCTTCTGGTCCCTTGAAGAAAAAGTGTTTCGACACTCTAAATTAACCTCAAACATTGATTCTGGGTAAACGTTTTCTCTTCAGTTGTTTGGTAAACACTGAGACGACGACGCATCTGAGCTAACAGGAGTTACTGTCCACTTGGTTTCAAAGTGCCACTGTAAGTCTAACATCATAACATATCGTTCTACAGATATTTAGAATCTGTTTGTTGAGTAGGACTGGTTCAATTAGACGATGCTCAGTGAATTGTTGCTCTAGATTCTGAACACAGGTCTGAAACGTGAAAAAAGGATACGGTTATTTTATGAAGGTGGGGGTGAAAAAAGTGTGTAACATGTAAATATGTCACACTTGTTCAGTGCTTTTGTACGCAACACGTTTCCAACCGACGGATGGCAAACACAGTCAAAACAGGAGTCAGTAATGAAGGCGTTCGAGGATGTGTCTAGAAAAATGCCAGTTTATCGAGATGTCTGTGTTATCTAGACTGGTTAGTAGTTGAGAGGACTGAGTGGTACAGAGTACCAAACGGTAATCCGGTGTGGACGCATGACCGAACGATTTCAGCTCGAGTGCGTCTAGTAACATTAGTGAGCTCAGCATTAATGTCGTAGACTTACAGAACTACATATTGTGGAGGTTATTTAGTACCACTTTGTGTTGGTAATTGACTCACTGAATCAAACAACTTTCTCAACACTCAACACTGTTGATCATCTTATTAGTTTCAGCGAATAAGACATGTTGAACACTTTTGGTCAAGTGTCATTACCAGACCACAACAGGAACTGATGTAAAAAGACTATTCCACTGTTCGTGCCTTATTTTTGTGGTCCATTATCTGACTCCAATTGGATTGTAAGACGATTGTTATCGAAATGTGCATCAGACAAAAACAAGTTACAGACACGTGATAAATAGGATAAACAATTGGTGCACATATGATCGTATAAAAAGCAGTCAGGGTTAATATTCGAATAAGTGACAGAGTAAAGACGTGGCTTGAGAAGAATGGATAGATTGGTCTGTCCAGTGGCTAGAACAATCTGTGTGGGCTTGACATGGTAGCGGCCATTACATCGTCAAGAGTTTCACTTATCTCTATCTTTCCTTACAATCAAAAATTATTTTCACTTTATTCATCATTGCCTTCTTCTTCGTACGTTTTAAGGGAAATGACAGTATTGTAACCATCAACACACTTTCATATTTCCTATTTCACTTTACTCCGATAACATTCTCTGAACCTTTGTTCAATGCTGAGAACTTCTGTAAACACTCTTTCATAATGTGGTCGCGTGAGTGGAATGAGAGTAATTTCCTTCCATATTACATTCTTTGGTATTGCCATGGTCTTGAAACAATTAACACCCGCACAAATGAACTAGAATTAGCTTGCTTAATTTTGGTTCCCTGTAATGACAGCGAATAATACTCATTTTCATAGCAGAAATACAGGTCGGCTGGATACAACGACGTTACAGGTTATGTCAAGTAAGACTGTAAACCGATTTTGAGCGTCTGATACCTGAACATCGTGTCATCATGGTAACTATATAAGTATGACTGGTTGTGAAGTGAGAATTGACTTGAAAGTGATTCTCTCATCAAGTAAATCTGTCGAACCTTTTTCAATTCGTAACTCCAAAAGCCTGGTTAACGGAAAGGTTGTCTAAATTTTCTTCTTATCCTGTTCTTAAGATTGTCGGTACGAATGGATCAAATAATGAAATCTCCAAAACCAATACTAAAAGTCCTCCATCTTTTCGCCTTGCTGTTTGAAACAAATCCTAGAAACCTAAACATTATCTTCTCATTAGATCTTCAAATCGAAATGATCAGAGTGATCCCTATGTTATGGGAATGGTCAATTCAGCAAATCAAAGGTACAATCGCTCGGTCTAGCCGTTATAATAGTAAATTGATTGAGTACAGCATAATTAAGAGTTATTGACAGGCTGTAAATAGGCAAGAGGAAGAGCATGAAACTAAAACTGTGAATGAAATAAATAACTATAATTTTATGGTAACTAAAATCAGTTGTGTCTTCACAAACAGAGGAGTCAAAAAATGTGTTGACACAACCTTTAAAGAAAGACATTAGGTTTTGACCTTACGAAACCTGACATGAGGGTTGTTTTACACATTTTTACAAAAAGGTATTTCACTCACACATTTAGGCTTTGTCACGTTTTTAGTCACACTGTGTTAACCGACTCGAATATATATATATATATATCCTTGTTCATTTCAGACACCTTGTGGATTTTCCTGTCAAATAATCAAAAACATTTGGAAACTTGCAATCAAATGAGTTTTATGAGAAATGATTCAGAGACGGACGTATGCCACATACCTTGCAGCAACAGACCATACATGTAAGATCAGGTGAGTGAAGTTTGTGTTACGTTGTGTGCTATCTAAACTGAGCTATCAGTTAAGCGTCGTGTTACAACGATTGACCAAACGCTATATGAACTGTTGTGTGGGTTTAAACATTTCATGGATTTAGGATGAGATTAAATTGACATCTAGTCACAAATACGGAAATGCGCGTCCACAAAAGTCCAAAATTAATCACAACAGTCTGTAGAGAATAGTTCATAAGATAAAAACACCACTTTATACGAATGCATTATAATGGTTCGTTTTCATAGACCTATGGACGAAATTAAACTGATGTGTCAGTGGGTGAAACAGGACAGTAACTTGTCATTCGCAGTGATTACATGAAACATCCTCAGAAGCATCAGTAGAAAACCTTTTTATCTAAAATACCATTATCATTGGCATCTTGACCTGTCTATGTTGCTGAGTATCCGTAACCCGACTGATCCTCTTTAGTGTGGAGGCTGGAATTTCAAAAAGTAATTGTCTAAGACTGTTATAATCCGACTATCCAATTTCAGCATGAAATCGAAAACTCATGGCTCTCTCACATTCATCACAATTAGTAAGACAATTGTTGTTGAGCATGGCACAAGTTTCCAGCATTTTAACATTAAATCTGTTAGACTTAATGCTACTGTGTTAGCTACTAATGGACTTATCAACCCACATTAGCTATATTGATGAAAGTTTTATCTGCAACCGCACATGGCTTTCCGAAGTGAACCTGAGCGGTGACATGGTGTACAACAGACTGCATCACCGGAGAAAAGACACTTCTGGTCCGGTTATGTTTGATTCTGCTATACTGAAGGAATCAGCTTCAAACCCGGCTACACACAGTACAGTAATTCGTCATTCGCAGTGATGATATGAAACAACCTCAGAAGCATCAGTAGAAAACCTTTTTATCTTTCCTTTCATATTACATTTTTTAGTATTGCCACCGTCTAGAACTTGATTACCTTGCAATTCTTTCAGGACTTCCTCATCCTGTGGTTAGGCTGAACAAACTTTCAGAATTTTTTAAGGGCTATTCAGCAGAGGTTGAAAATGAAATTGTTGTCTTCAGCTAGTTTTATAAGTTTCAGGTAGTGTATGCCGCTTATCTCAACTCTTGCGTTACTATGTCAAATGTAGATTTGAAACCGAAGTATGAACCAGGTGGGATTTTCGTTTTCAATTTCATAAGCTTATCTACATAGGTGAAAAACTTCTTTGCTTCCATGGACCTCTTATGTATGAAGCTAAGTGTCTGGATGTCAAAGTGAAAGAAGATGGAGTGATGTATTTTGTACACTATCAAGGTTGGAATAAGAAGTAAGGATGTAATCAAATTTATTTGTGGATAATAGTTGGGATGAGTGGGTGACTGACAAGCGTATGTTCAAGTATAATGAAGAGGGTTTAAAGAAACAGAAGGAGTTGGAACGGCAAATGTAAATTATTCTGTTCCCTACTAAACGTTTCGAACGGGTTGTAGAAGGTCTGGAAAAGTCAAAGTCTTAAGAAAATCTGACTTAAAGTCACAATCTTTACCACCTCCGGAAGTTTTAAAGGATGTGGAGCGGACGCTGAAGCCTGGTCATTTAAAACAAGGTTGTACTTTCTGGGTTACTTCACTTACTGTTCTTATAGAAGAGGAGAGTCCTAAAGCAAAGCAGTCTAAAAGTAACAGTGAAGCAGATCAAAAACCAAGCACGCCTGTGACGACAGAAGTGAAGGAGAGTGAAGATGTCAAGGCACCTTCAAAGCCTCCTGAAGAATCTAACGGTGTATCCAACATTACTACTGTATCAAGCAGAAGAAGAAAAAGTCGGGCGACATCAGGAATAAAATCTATCGAGAATGTAAATCTGAAAAGCTAACTTTTTGAAGTCAGGAGTTTTTTTTCGTGATTTTTGGAACATTTTTAGAACAACTCAGTCGTATGGTTGTTTCGTTTATGTATTCCGTAGTGCAATGGCTTACATACTTTTTTAGTGTTCAGAACGTTAACTTATGCCTTATGTTTTGATTCTTCGTACACTTCCTAGACCCATAGCTCTGCGATTCTGATTCATGTGATAATAAACCCAGTGTTAACGAAGCTGAATTTTCAAATATCTCACTCATCAGTCAGTACATCTGCACTGAAATAAGTTCTGTCTCTTGCAGTGTGAATCAGGTTCCGAATAAAATTCATATATTCTTAGCATTCGGCAGATTCATGTTAATTGCCGAGACAGACTATGTCTCATTCTGTTGTGTGCAGATACCTATCTAACCTTTCTCTTATTATCTTGTTAGGATGACAGTTTACTTTCAAAGCCACAACTAATGGTATCTATACCTCCATCTTTAAAGGCATGGCTCGTGGATGACTGGGACTTGATTACTCGTCAAGCTCGTGTAAGTCAGATTTCCTGTAACTGTTTAGTAGTCGTGTTCCATTTTGTATCGTGGTGTCATTAATTTACTCCAATTTAAAGTGGTTGTCAAATTAAAATCAATTTAAACCTAAAGAGAGGAACTAAGATGTTCTGAATTCATATCACTGTAATAGATCGTCGCCTGTACCACCGTCTTCAATAAACGGAAGCATATTTTTGTTAGGTAGTCACATAAACCATCCGATTTGTGTGAGGGCTGTGATACTGCCCGGGTGCCCAAACCGAACCACGTGGTTTTCTTAGGGGACCGCACCCAGGACCTTCGACCTAAAGTTCTGATCCACAAGGCAGTGGAGCAATATCACGAGATGCAGTCCCATGATAGCCGGTGACCAACGATTGTTTCATACGCCATTTGTTCCTTCAGGATACTGGAGCCCATGTGCACCATTGATTTGGAATCAGGGTTTTCCAACTCCCCTAGGTAGACTTTCCATGTCCATCAACCCGGTTAAAGCGCCGAACATTCGTTTTTCGTCTTCTCAGTTTTGTGAACAATATCCTCACCACGAGAAGGCAGTGAGTAGGACTTCCCTGTCATTGGTTGTATACGCGTGGCCATGTGAGAGCATTTCGGAGAGAGTTGACTTTCTTCACCCGCTGTACCAGAGCATTTTGGGGGAAAAGCCATCATGTTTTTATTATATCCTTCATTATTGTCCCGGTTCACTGAAGCATTCGATCATTCATCTTCCAAACATTGTCACACTTTGTTTTTAGGTTGCATGTTTTTGCTGAGCTAACAATATTTTCAGTCAGCCATTGACTGAGTTTGAAGAAAATGATTCTTATTATTTTGTTAATTTACTTGTCTCTGTAGTCGTTACGAAGTTTGCTTAAGCTTATCTTATTTCATTTTACTGATTTGGTTAATTTGCAGCTTTACGAGCTTCCTGCTTCCCAACCAATATCCACCCTTTTGTCTGACTTCTTAGAAAGTGCTGAAATCGAGGTGAAATCTGAACCCACTTCTGAACCTCAAAATTCTCAACATAATATAAATCCTGCAATAAGACCTGATTTAAGACGTGAATTTCTCGCTGGGATTCAGCATTACTTTAATTTGATTATCGGTTCTCATCTCCTATATAAATTTGAACGGTTACAATATGCTGAACTTTTAAAACGTCACACAGATAAAAGAATGTCAGATATTTATGGTTCAATTCACTTACTAAGGCTATTTGGTACGTCCTTCAATTCAGTGTGTAGTTTTCAAGTTTTTCACATAAATCACTAAACGGCGCTTTGATTTAACATACCATTTGTTAACGAATAAAAAGTAGCTTTTGAAAAAGACAAAAATGTCTTCGAGGAAGTGAAGAATTTATTTTAGTTAGTTGATTTATTTTATTTATTTATTTTAACACATATATTGGTACACGGAGGCACCAAATGCATATGCGCCACACAAATCTCACATGATATGTGTGAGGGCTGTGATACTGCCCGGGTGCCCAGACCGAACCACGTGGTTTTCTTAGGGGACCGCACCCAGGACCTTCGACCTAAAGTTCTGATCCACAAGGCAGTGGAGCAATATCACGAGATGCAGTCCCATGATAGCCGGTGACCAACGATTGTTTCATACGCCATTTGTTCCTTCAGGATACTGGAGCCCATGTGCACCATTGATTTGGAATCAGGGTTTTCCAACTCCCCTAGGTAGACTTTCCATGTCCATCAACCCGGTTAAAGCGCCGAACATTCGTTTTTCGTCTTCTCAGTTTTGTGAACAATATCCTCACCACGAGAAGGCAGTGAGTAGGACTTCCCTGTCATTGGTTGTATACGCGTGGCCATGTGAGAGCATTTCGGAGAGAGTTGACTTTCTTCACCCGCTGTACCAGGGCATTTGGGGGCGTTCAAATGAATTCATTTAAAAACACTTCTAATATGTGCTTATTGTTCCGTTATTCTGAATTTAAATGATGAAAAGCCAATCATATCAAGTTGATTTTCATCTTCAAACTTATGAGTCATAAAGTTGCGGCGTGTTAGTGGAAATTGAATCGCTTCAATCTATAGTCAGGTGTAAAATATTTGCGTGCCATATCATAGCGATGTCACCAATATTGTTATAAATAGCAATCTGCTAACACCCTTGCTATGTTTTTTTTTATTTATAAGGTTATTTGAAACTCATAAAGTCTACATATAAATCTACGGTAGTGGTGATATAAGTTTGATGAAAAGAAACTAACTGATTCTTTATATGTTTGACATTTTAATAGTGACAGAGTAATTAGTTGTTCAGATTGTTCATAGTTCACTTAAATTATTCCATTCCCACTCTTATCATTGTTGTCAAGACTGGAATGTTCTTTTGTTGTTTACTAGCTCAAGGGTTTACGTCTTCCGTAACAACTACACTAACCGACTATAACTTATAGGCTTTCATCAGAGTATATCCATTATATTAAAATCGTTTATTTTAATCTATTACCTGCAAATAGATACGATGGACAACTTATAACTATTATGGTTTGTATGTGTTTCACTGTAGTCCCAGTATGTATTTCTATTGCAGTTAAGCTTCGGGACATGGTTTCTTGTACCAAAGTCGATGTAAATAGTCTGCCTGTTCTAGAAGCATTGGTCAACGAATTCTTGCAGTAAGTATTGTCTTTTGGGTCATTAGGTTTTCTTTTATTACAAAATTTATGTATATGTTACCATTATTGCTCTCTCAGGTGTTTAATGTTACTACTGTGAAGACTTACTCAAACTATCACTTTTGAATAACTGGTGCATGCTTTTTTAAAATTTCATAGAAAAGAAGCTTTATGAAAACTATTAACTGTTATTAGAAGAAACTACATCTCAAAGTATGTGCGTATTGATACAGTTTATGTAAAAATAGACAATGTGTGTATATAAAGTTGGAACATACGATGCTTCTGTTTCCTAACTTCCATATCACCTTATATTTCGGCTAAAATGGAATAACAGAAATGAGGAAGTAAAATATTGTTAATAATTAACCGGAGTCAGTTTCAAAAAGCCATAAGGTAGTCATCTGTTTTGGAACAATAATTCCGTTCTTTATTCAGTGGTTCCTAGTCTAGAACTAAATTACTCAATATGAAATATGGATTTCCCTTACTGTCATATAACTTCACCTTAAAGAGATATACACATTGTATGCGAGTCATGAATACATTTTGCTTACACAAGCTCAACTTTTTCAGAACCCTTACGTACAAGTCATTCAAAATGGACATTTTTATTGACGGCGCGTCTTAAAAGAATAGTTCAAACTACTCCGAATTATTTATTCTCTGAAAAAGTGACTTACACTAAGCCACGAAACGTCAGAAAATCTGATTTTTCTACCCATTGGGATATTACAAATATAATATTAATTTATACTCCGAATTAGATTATTTATCTGTATATGTTCCTTTCAATCACTACTTAGTTGTCATTGATTAATAAATGTTTGTTTTTGTCTCATACTTTTATGTGACAGATTTTTAAGACAGAATGAAGGTCGTTACTTCCGTCTTGAAGATTACACTGTAGCGACGGCAGAATATCAGAGGAGAGCAATGTGCTGAATACATATTATTCTCATCTACTCTTTGAAAATATGTATATCTTCACAACCTGTATAATATTGTTAATATATTATAAATCGTTTTAATTTTTCGAAATCGTTACTTATTGACAGATTCATACCTGCAATCTATAAATTATCATCCCAGTAAACAATTGTTTGATATTTTGTCTAATTTCAATTATTTTAGAATAAAACTGAATAACCTTGGTGAAAGTCTGAAACTTTAGGGTGCAAACAAACCTGCGTTCTTTTGGAATAATAGCTGAATACGATGCTCAGGGTCCGGGGCAAATTAGGGTTTGGTGGGCATTTCCGTCCTCCATCTCGACCAACAGTATGGTGGATATGAAACTTATAGGTCGTCAGTTTCAGTCCTTCAAAACACTTCTGTAGGCATGAGAATTTTGGGATTAAAATAGGCTGTTCTAACCAGGTCTAAATGCAATGTTTAAATCGATTTTGAAACCACAGGAAATGAAACATCGCTTAAAGATTCACATGGTTTTAGACCAAAAGTTTCAACATTAAAATCTTAAAAGGATAAATGCTACGACGTTAATTCATTTTATACTACCTTACTGATTAATGAAAGTTCAATCATAATCTCGTATTTTTCGTAGAAGATTGATCAACTGGAGAATTATTAGAAACCGAACAGCACTTGGCAGTTGTTTCGCTGTAGTTCAGGACTTCTGTAGCGTTCATTCACGATTCTACTGGGGACTGGGCATAAACCTTTCAGAGCTTATTGTAAGCACATTATCTTTAGATTCGTAAGTCGGCATCCAATGATCCATAACTTCACTCAGTTAACGATATAGTGTAATTATCATCAGTGATACCTATCTCACTCATGACATAGTCACGACTTCTCATTGTGACTAAGGATTTATGTGTAAATTAGTCAGTAATAACGACTAGGGATTGCGTCATGGATATACGCTGCTAAAGGATTTTAAACTAGAAAGGAAAGAATCTTCCGACTAAACGATACGTTCTGATTGTTATTCTCAGTCACTTTTAATATTTAGGCGTTCGTTAAATATAATCGTCATCGTAACATCTGGGATTTTGTTCAAAAACTGATAAATTTACATTCAACGGAAAAGCAACTTATCATGAATGTCCATAGGAAAGCTATCTAATATGAACACACGCAGGAAATCTACGTCACACCTGGTTGACATAACGGTGTCGGTTGTTTCCAGTATTTCAGAAAATGAACATAAAATAGGCAATGCAGTCCTGATCCTGAAGGCTTCTGAAATGTTACAGCGTTAGCGAGATTGTTTTTGGATCATGATGCATTTCATTTAATGTATATAACTTAGGATGAAAATAGTTTTTAGTAAATGTAAGGTCAGCGTTATCGTATGCTAATATCTATTATTTTGACAAGAGAACTAAAACGTCAGTAAACCAATGTATATTTAGTCCGGGTGATTGGTGATACGTTTCGGGAGTTTAGGTTTTACTTAACATATATTTCTAAATTCTTAAGATACAGCAAAACACTCATTCCCACTAAACATATTTGATCGTAATACATTTAAATATAGAAAGAAGTTTTTTCATAGTTTGTATAACAACTGTTTATTATTTTCTAAGAGGTCTTCATTTACGGTGCAGAAATAAGGTTGTAATGTCTCATACTTTTAGTCTGCAACCAGTCAAAAGTTATATAATTGCACTCTCTGGTCTTCGTTCATCATTCAGTTAAATTGACAAATTTTCCAAGCAAATTTGCTTAGAATTCTGTTTAATTTTAATCTAGTAATAATAGAATGTTACCAGCTATTTAGAGTTGCTAAATAACAATGGTATCAAATTGTTATTTAAATTTGTTTGCATGTTCAAAAGTTATTAACAACTATTAGCAAAATGTCCTGTGAACTGAAAACTATGATATATGCTTGAAAACATCTGACGAGTATTGGAAAATAGACTCATGAAAATATGTCAGGAGATTCTGACCAATTAGTGTAGATGGACTGTATTCACCACGTGATTGCATGGATTTCGTGTATACTTATTGCTGAGAAATGACAAACTAGTGATTTCACTTTTTGACAAAAATACCTTCAGATTAAATTAATTTCCAAATACTACGCAACTATGTAGTAACATCTTTGCAAGTGAAGAGAGTGGCATTATTTTGTAGGAGACAACATAGGTGCCATCGTGAATACTAAAGGCTTTTTTTGTCAGTAAGACTTATAATACAGGAGACTGTTATTGCTGTAAAACATGTGCAAGTTTGCCCGGTAAATTTGGATTCTGTTCACTTCTGATTGGTATCCAAAATATTTAATGATGTATAAAAGTATTTTTATGAAAACCACTTGGGGATTATTGCAAAAATCAATACAGTAAATTATTACGGGGAGAAATATCAATGTTATTTGGTGAATGGTTTCTTAGTACAGAGCTGATTAATAAAAAAAGGGAATATCCTATTTCATATTTTGAAAATAACATTTAGTCAGGGACAATTTGTAGACTTGGTGTCTAGCTTGGGACGCTAAATTGTTTTTGAAATTTCTAATTTTTGCTATAGTTTACTATTATTATGTTGTACGTTGCGATATTAATTAGAAATAAGTAAGCACAGTCAACTGTCAATGACTACCTTGATACAATAGGACTTTTTTACGACATCTTCAAAGTTATCGCAAAAACCAACAAAATATAAATGAGTAGACTTGAGAAATACATTACCAATATAAAAGTTTATTAAGAGGTGGTAATTCCGATTGTTGTGTAGTGAGAACGCTTTTTCATATATTGGGACTGATAATAAAAACTTGATTCAATCCTATAAATTTTGTTGAAAATAGATATTTCACAGCATCAATTGTATAATACTACAGCATGTATTCCAATCATAAGTTTTCAAAGTATATTTCATTAGTATTACTAATAGTCAGTATCAGGTATTCGTATTCAGTTATACAAGTTGTCCATCAGTTTAGCTGCTACAACTTTGTTATACATCACAACTTGAGGTGCTTGAATTCCTGTATATTTGTCGCTCATTTTTTCAAAGGATAGATAAATAAAAATAAGCCAAGAACTAAAGTATTTATGGTAGGATTTTCCAGTATTTTGAATCACAATGATTTTTAACCCATTTATAGCAACTCGTGAAAATGTACTATTAACGTTCCTAATTATTCAGTTTAAACAAATTTAGAATAGGTTGATTTATTGAGATGCTCGAGCAGTTGGAAAATAAGTGTCGCAAACGTATGAGTTAGTCGCTAATTTCGGTCGGTAGGTTATTAGATGTTTTGTTTAAAAAAATATCACTTGTAAAGCTTATAGCAGTCAGGTTACACTAATCAACGTTTATTTAAGTAATATAGTTAATACAATGAATATGAACTTCAATTATGACATTTTACTGGACAATATTTATTGTAGTTCAATCGATGGCTAGTTGATTACAAAATAATCATATTTGAATTCATTTACGAAATCTTAAGAGCTATCATCAATGGTCGGATGATTAGTTACATAAAAATAAATGATAAAGGGAATCTGAGTCTGAATTACATTTCTAAAAATGTTAACAGTTATAAAAAAAGACAAAATCGTTCCGGTGTTTTGCCCAGTTTCTAAAAAACTATCAAGAAAGAATGGCATAATATAAAATATTAACATGAGAAGTCCTTTGCACTGCTATAAACTAACGAGGGACGATTGACATATTATTCCTAATACCGTTTAATTAATATAAACTTAATCTCGTGCCAAGTGAATTGCTTGAAAAGTAAGTTCCACGTCAAATTAGTCAGTTTATTATCTTATTTCATACAAATGTGAGTGAGGTGTAAAAAAACGATTTTAATAAGTCTGTTAGTGATATATATATATACTTCTAATCTTAGAATAATTTGCCCTAAAAGAAAGTTGAGTCCTCACAGACATTCTGCCTTATATTATCTTTGAATGAAGTCATTAACAATGTGATGATGAATAACGTACAATAATCAGAATGTATAATCTATAGGCTACATTTTTAAATAATTTTTGAATTTCTTTGACAATTTGGTGAATGTAATACTTCTACTTGCTTATTTTCAGTTCAAAACCAGTAGGTTCGTTTGTCACATTAGTTTCCCGTTTTAAAACTTCGTCACATAAATAAGTGTTTATGTATATGTTTTCTTCATACAAAATAATTATGGTGTGAATATGGATTTTCATTTCAGACTAATTAACGACAAGACAAAATCAATGATAAATCGTTGTTTTCCATAAAAGAGTCGTCATTTTAACAATTGATAGAAAGACGAAAAACGACACACACTCTGTAAATACTTCAGGGATAGAAAACTAGCATACTAAGAAGGACAATTGATAAATAAATGAAAATAAAACCAAATTGTTCCAAATTACTGATTCTATTAAATAGTACAGATCAATAGACTACTGTTAACACTTAAGGTTAATCATGATTTAAGGTTATTATAAGTTATTTTTTTTAGAATTTAAATCGAAGATAGTCTTGTAATTATTCATATTTTTGGACAAGATTCAAAGAATAAGAACGGAAAATAATAAGGAATGTGAACATTGGATTATTCCTAATAGATTATAATTTTCTAATTAATAGTTGAGCCAAAGCGAATATGTATTATCATGTATGTAAAAGTGGTTTAAAGTTGTTAATTTGGTACTCATTGTTGGGAGTCTTTTATATACCTTCAGAATTCAGGAAAATGCATATATAAGATAGACTAGACTAAGAATGTTATTTAATGCGGAATATGGTGAAATTAAGATACTAAAAAAATTCACATTGCATTTAATTACTATTATTGAATAACCATATATTTTTATCTTTATAGTATAATAACCATAAAGGGTGCCCTTTGAAATGTATATCTCTGTTAAATTCCCTAACCTTAAACATTTTATTGATAGCGAGATCGAAATATATTACGTACTTACGCCTGTTACCACCCATGGAGGACTATAGGCCGCCCACCAGGATTCTTCAACCTGCTCGGTCCAGGGTTCTCCTTTACATTTGTTTACAAGTGCCACTCATCCTTTTGATGTCTGACTTCAATTACGGTGCAGTGTGTTCTTTGGTCGACCGCTTTTCATTTAGTTTTAAATATTTCAAGTACGGGGCTTGCCTCGTGATGCAGTTTAATGATTTCGGCAATATATATCCTATTTACCTATAGTGCCTTTTCCTAATT